GGTAACCCCCCCCCCCACTCTAAGGGCCTCAGGGCTGTTCCCCCCGCGCTCCATCCCGTGCGTGGTCCGGGTACCGTATTGTCACCGAGATTGTCTCTGCTGTGCCCTGGCCCAGCGCCAGGCTACGCCACAGCCCCTGCCCTTCCCCCGCAGACTTCGTGCTGGTCTGGGAGGAGAAGCTGCGCCCCCCGAAGAAGAAGAGGAGGAGGAAGCTGCCCTGCCCTGAGGCCAGCGGTGACCGGCCAGGGGGGCGCCACGAGCGCTGGCAGAGGAAATTCCTCAACAACCTAAGAAATGCCGGGCTCCTGATGGAGAAGGTGAGTGGGACCACGCCCCCATCCCCAGGGCCCTGCCACGTCCCACGCCCCATCCCCAGGCCCTGCCACGTCCCACGCCCCATCCCCAGGGCCCTGCCACGTCCCACGCCCCATCCCCAGGGCCCTGCCACGTCCCACGCCCCATCCCCAGGGCCCTGCCACGTCCCACGCCCCATCCCCAGGGCCCTGCCACGTCCCACGCCCCATCCCCAGGGCCCTGCCACGTCCCACGCCCCATCCCCAGGGCCCTGCCACGTCCCACGCCCCATCCCCAGGGCCCTGCCACGTCCCACGCCCCATCCCCAGGGCCCTGCCACGTCCCACGCCCCATCCCCAGGGCCCTGCCACGTCCCACGCCCCATCCCCAGGGCCCTGCCACGTCCCACGCCCCATCCCCAGGGCCCTGCCACGTCCCACGCCCCATCCCCAGGGCCCTGCCACGTCCCACGCCCCATCCCCAGGGCCCTGCCACGTCCCACGCCCCATCCCCAGGGCCCTGCCACGTCCCACGCCCCATCCCCAGGGCCCTGCCACGTCCCACGCCCCATCCCCAGGGCCCTGCCACGTCCCACGCCCCATCCCCAGGGCCCTGCCACGTCCCACGCCCCATCCCCAGGGCCCTGCCACGTCCCACGCCCCATCCCCAGGGCCCTGCCACGTCCCACGCCCCATCCCCAGGGCCCTGCCACGTCCCACGCCCCATCCCCAGGGCCCTGCCACGTCCCACGCCCCATCCCCAGGGCCCTGCCACGTCCCACGCCCCATCCCCAGGGCCCTGCCACGTCCCACGCCCCATCCCCAGGGCCCTGCCACGCCCCATCCCCAGACCCTGCCACATCCCACGTCCCATCCCCAGGGCCCTGCCTCAACCCACATCCCCATCCCCAGAGCCCTGCCATGTCCCACACCCCTCCAGGCCTGGCCCTCACCACAATCCTTCCTAAGGTTTCCAGCTTCTTTCTAATCCCTGAAAACCAAATGCGCCTGCCCCTACCCTCGCAGCTCCTCCCCCTTACCTGCCCCTTCCTCTGAGGCTCTGCCCCACCTGTCCCCCCCGGCCCCCTGCAGACCCAGGGTGGGAGGAGCTGAGTGGAGCCTGCCCACCTGGCCAATTGGCACAGTGGGGTGGGGGAAGTCAAAGCCCCAGAGCAAGAGGTCGGGTGGGGGAAATCAAGGCACAGTGGGGTGGGGGATGGGTCCCTGGAGCAGGGATCAGAGTGGGGAAATCCAGGCAGACTGGGGGGGCAGACAGGATT